GCCCTGCGGAATAAATGCCTATAAAGATAGCACTGTGTGGTACACTGGATGACACATAACTATGCAAGAGGAATGTTTTCAGGTTAACCTTGAAGATAGTAAGGGGCTCACAAGAACAAATATCAGATAGGAGGATAACTAAAAGAAGATTCCCTATCTTTGGCATTTATAATAGGCATAAAAGAAATGACAAGTTGATTATCTGACCCAGAATAAAAATGCCCACACAGGGATGTAAAGGAGAAGGAAATTCAGCTACATGTCTCATCAAGGTTAGTAAAAATCTCATAGATTAATCATCACATAAAGTACACTAAATCATTGGCTTTGAAAATGGTTTATTTCATAGCTACAGTCTGCAGTTCCATCCATGCGTAGGGGATTGACAGCTGCTCCACCCATTAGTATTAATGAATTATCAATGTACATCCCACACACATCCACCAGGGAACCAGAGACACCCCTCCTACACACTACTTTGGTTTTGAATCTTCCAAATGTTGTAGGATGGCTATTCCTTTAATAAGTGGAAAATCATTGACTACAGCACGTATTATCTCCCATAGCTAAAACTGACATCTCATAGGAATTAGTGAGGAAATGTAACTTTATTCATCAATTAAGATATGTTAAATTTTCTCTCACCTCTTTGTCATCTAAGGAATGCTGTGACCTTTGAGGAAATTTCACCTGCTCTGCTGGGGCATTTCATTAAGGAAAACACAAGTTAGAATGACCTTGGGAGTCTGCTTATTGAAAATTGCCCCCTCCTGAGATACCTCTGCTAGTGTTCTTGAAATGTGGAGAGAGAGAACAAAGTGGTTTTGATACAGTGACCATGTGTCCTGGTTTACCCAGAATAGTCCCAATTTACACCTTTGGTCCTGGCGTAGTTATTAATCATTGCCCCCTCACTCTCAAAAGATCTTGGTTAGGACAGATCACTCTAGTTTTAGAACATTTCTTAAAAAACCATGGCCCCTTCCTCTACAGTCTAAGACAGTTTCAGATTCCATTCATGCCTTTCAGGTGGAACCCTTGGTTCTGCAAAGAAAGACACAAAAAAATGATGGATCAGTGCATACAGCTTTAGGAATGATAAAATTCATTAAAGTGTTTCCTACTCTTTCATTCTTTGTGCCTTATCACCTTTCTCTCTGTTTTGTGCATTACATTCTTCAGCACACACTCCTTATATAAAATATCGGGGATTGGTCAAACAGTGTCACTATAAGAATATTTTCATATAGAAATAGGCTGCGTAAAGCTTCTCAGTCCATTTGTGTAAAAACAAAACGTGGTATATTTTATTGTTTTCAATGAAGGGGAATTTAAGGTCGCACTACTCATTGACATGGGACTATCAGATTGAGAAATACCTCAAATTACAAACGTTTATTAAGTGCTTACTATGTGTCTGGCATTCTGTTATAAAAAATGATGAAGACTGGGGCCGGCCCGGTGGTGCAGCGGTTAAGTTCACACGTTCCGCTTCTCGGCGGCCCGGGGTTCGCTGGTTCGGATCCCGGGTGCGGACATGGCACCGCTTGGCGCACCATGCTGTGGTAGGCATCCCACATATAAAGTAGAGGAAGATGGGCACGGATCTTAGCTCAGGGCCAGGCTTCCTCAGCAAAAAGAGGAGGACTGGCAGTAGTTAGCTGAGGGCTAATCTTCCTAAAAAAAAAAAAAAAAAAAAAAAAATGATGAAGACTTTGTCCTGGATTTCAAAGAACTCACAGTCTAGTAATGGAGGACATCATGTAAAGTAATAATTATACGTGGCATGTGTGTTTCTAAAAGCACGTGAAGCTGCGATGGGAGAAAAGGGTGAGATTAAATCTGGATCTGCAGATTGAGGAAGGTTTTATAGACGAGATGACAGAGGAGGTAATGTGTGAGCCAAGTTTAGGCGGAGGAATAGAGTGAAAGTATCAGTCTATATGAGGGGCCCTGTGTCAATTTCGTTCTGAGGAAATAGGTGGTATTACATTGGCCAATATGCACTGTCACAAAAATATCACTGCTGCTTCTGAACTCTGCATTCCATAGATTAAGACCTTTTGTTCTTTTTCTGATGAAGAATGGAATTGACAGTTCACTATTCTTATAATAGCCACAATGTTCCCATTTGTTGATATGTCTTCAAATAGAGTTTTGAAAGACCATTTTAAAGCTCTCTTAGACCTTTCCCCTGTAAAACAGACTTGTTCCCTTTCCTGCACTCTCAGAGGTCTTACTTTAGTTTTTTAAAACAATCAGCCTTATCCTTTTCTCTTCTGAGCCCCTGTTAGTGTATGGTTCCCACCAACACACCCTTGTATTTTTTGCTCAGGTGGCATTACAGTGCATTTGTATATAAAGGTCTGGCTAGTCATATTGTCCCTAAATATCATACTTACTTACTTATATCTCAGTGTCATGCTTAAATGAAGGAATGAAAGAAACACTTCATTCCAACCTCATAGTCACTGAGCTGTCATCACTCTCTAGTCTCTGATTCTCCTCCCTCTTGGTGGTTCCTTCCTGACTTCTAGTTACACTAATTTCTGTAAGTCCTATCTTCCATCTTCTTCTCTCTTCATTTGCTTCTTCCATGACAGTCTTGCTCCTATGATTCCAAATTTCCCCTCTGTTTGATTGTCATCTAAATCTGTGTTGTCTGTTTGAATGGATTATATATTTGCCTCCACACTTGAGTTTTCTCCCAGTCTAATTCCCATAGTCTTCTCTTCCCATATCTAAGCCACAGGCAAGTCACAAACACTGTAGTTAAATAATGTCCCTAGCACCTGTTCCCTCCTCCGGTCCCTCTTCCTTTACTGTGATACCTTCCTTACCATGATCTCTAGTAGTATTCTCACCTACAAAGTCATGTCCATCTTTAAGCCAGTTTGCACATGGTTCCCAAGTTAATTGTTCTAAAATACATAACCCCTTTACTGAAACCCCATCACCAATGATAAATTTAGATATCATAGTCAAACTGATCCTTGCCACCTTTTGACTTTATTTCCCATTGCCCTCCTTTATGAGTCTTGTGCTTGTAGAGAGAGGCAGTGCAGAGGTCTGAAGTTAGAATATCCAAATTTGAATTCTGGTTCTGTCACTTGCTGGCTCTGTGATCATGGGCAAATCATTTAACTTCTGTGTCTCATTTTCCTCACCTATAAAATGGGGATAGTAATTGGACCTCTTACAAAGCATCGTTGTAAGGGCTAAATGAAATACTCAGAGCAGTGTCTAGCATGCAGTCAGGGTTCAATAAGTATTAGCCATTATTAGACTCCACTGAAAGGGAACTATTTGCATTTCGTATGCACATCCTGTAATTTCCTACCCCTAGTGCCTTTCTCATGCTCTATTTTGTTTTCAGAATGTCTTCCTCCATTTCCATCTCTATTTATTTAAACTCTGCACAGTTTGCACTCAAGTGCTCCCTCTTCCATGTAGCTTTCAGGCAAAGCCCCAAATATTCAACCCATCTTTCTAATTCTCATAGCCTCTCCTCTGTACCTCTCTAACATTAGTTAGCCCTTTCTACCTTGTAGAAATCAACACATAATTAATTATGTTTAGACATACCTTTGCTCTGAAAATATGGGGGCAAACAGGAGCCATTTTATGAATGTTTGCATTTTCCTCAGTATCCACCCGAATTAATATTAGAATCTGTATTTGTTGAATAAATGAATGAATATTCCACTTGTTCACTTACTTTTCCCCTGATAAGTGCAATGCAGTTTTAGAACCTTGCCAAAGTGAATATCTTCTCTTTGCTTGGTTATCTAATTGATCTCCCTCTCTGTCCTAACCCCCTCCCCTTTCCTTTTCCCCCCATTTTCCTACCTCGGACCCTTCCCTCGTTTCTACTCCACTTCCCCTCTTGCTTTTCCATGTCCCTCTCCCCTCCTCCCTTTTTTCTTCTTCTTCCTCCTCATCCTTTTCTTTAATTCTGGATTTCTACTTCTTAAAATTTTCTCTATAAACTCATAGCCAAGCCCTTAGGCACAAAGGGATACTGCTTCAAGAGGGAGATGTTTTCTGATCATTTTTTGTTGCTTTTCTCGTCAAAAATAATAGAGCATGTAACATCCCATCATAGTGCTGTTTACTCATCTGAGGTACTAAGACGGAAGCAATGGTTAAATAGCAAATAAAAGTAAGCCCAGTTTCTGGACGAGGAGAAGTAACCTCACAAGAACTTTCTCATTGCATGTTCTGTTTTTGCAGTATATTTTGAGTATGGTTTGTCTTTCTGGACTGGGAAACAATTGTAGGGTTAGTGTCATGAGATTTTTTTTTTAAAGAGAAATTTGACCAAGGGTCTCCAAGAACAAATTCTTAAGTGTTTTTTGGCCATTTTGTGCTTAGGTGTTCCTTAGTCTGTTAATTTCTTTACTCTTTTCTCATTTACAATGCCATTTTGCGTTATAATCCTTTCCTCCAGCATCTTAACAGTCCTCTTCCCTTAATCAGTATCCGGTTCCTTTCTCCTAAATCTGAAAGCCATCTACAACATCTTATCATACTCTGTTTTCCATTTCCACGTCTTGGAATGTCTCTTGTCTTGTTGGAAGAATGTTCTCATGAGTTCTGTTGGAGATGCGAATAGCAACCATTTAAATTAAATTCCTGATTAATTATGAGCCTGCACAGAACCAATGTGATCTACTTGTATTGATAAATATAAGATTGAAAGAATGTGCTGTTGATTGAGGAATGTAAAGTTAGCAAAATTGAGTGGTAGATTAGAAAGTCAAACTTGAGTTTTTATTTTATTACCATGATCTGAAACCACATGTAAAGTTTAACAATTTTAACACCTCTCTGCGTACGCTTCCCTTCCTGAGCCATACCAAGTTAATGCTTAGGACTGGATACCACATGTAAGTCAGTCTGAGAATCCTGAGTAAAACACCATGTGCACAACATTATGGGATTGTCGTTTGTGGTAAATTTGTTCTCAACATTGGCATTTTTTCCTTTTTCTAATTTAGGGTAGAAATTTAGCATCTGGAGAGGTTGGATTTTTTCCAAGTGATGCTGTCAAGCCTTCCCCATGTGTAAGTATGAGTCTTTTATTTCTTTCTCATTTTGTTTTGTTTTTATTCTGCAATTAATTGTGCAAGAGTGTACAAAGGATATGGGTCTGGTTGCTCATTAATTTTATTATTTTCTGAAGGGATCATATTACTTCATATTTGAGTGTTATGGCCTTTATTACTAAAATTCCAAAATCATTGTGATTCTATTGTTAGACATTTTTTTTTCCCTTTTCCTGAGGAAGATTTGCCCTGAGCTAACATCTGTTGCCAGTCTTTCTCTTTTTTTTGCTTGAGGAAGATTAGCCCTCAGCTAACATCTGTGCCAGTCCTCCTCTATTTTTTTATTTGTGGGTCGCCACTGCAGCATGGCTGATGAGTGGTGTAGGTCCGCACCTGGATCTGAACCCGTGAACTTGGTCTGCCAAATCAGAGTGTGCCAAATTTAACCACTATGCCATGGGGCTAGCCCCAGAAAATATGTTTAAATGTTCAAGAAGTACATGCAAGAGGCAAATTTGACTTAGTAGAATTTACAAAATTAAATTGTCTGCAAGATTTTAGAAGGAATAAACCAAAGGTACAGATTAGATGCATTGTACAAATTTTGCTTTTCCCACTGAGATGAGAATGATAGGGTCTAATCTATTCCCAGTCACTTTTGGTTACAAAGAGATATTAGACTTCAACTAGTGTGTTTGAAAGCATGCAAGTTTATAAATTTCTCAATCAAATTTGTAAATACATTTTTCTGTGCTTCAGTTTGTCATTACTATTTATTTAATGTTGTAATGATATTTTCGGAAAACATAAAATATATTAGGTAGATACAAGGAGAGTGAATGAATATTTACTCAAATGTTCTTATGGATGAATATAACATAAAATGTACTCTTTGGTGCTTTATGAAATTTATACATTTCTGTTTAGGGGGACATTATTTTATAATCATAATTTGGTGTTTAGGGTAGACTTTCCTACAAAACTAAGTTCTTAACTCCAAGTCAAGGAAATTTCTTTATTAATATAATGGAGTTGATAGTTTGAAAAAAAACCCTCCTTAAACTATCTTGTTGCTATATTCCATCCATACTTGATTTCAGAATGTGGTCTGTAGAATAATTAACTCTACTCATTCAAGCTTAATTAATTTCAAAAGCAAAGAGAATCAAAAAGCACTTGCTTTTCTGTTGGTTCTGTGATCTGATGTCAAGTATTTTTTATCTTATAATCTTGAAAAATTATCAAATCTTGATATCACTGTTATTTAATTAGACAACCAAAAATGATTGTTTAGCTACTTTTCTATGATTTGTATGAACAAGATTCAGGCTTCCTATGCCTAAAGCAGTGATATTTATATGTAGGCAGGTGGCAGGAGATTTTTGCTGAGGAAGACTAGCCCTGAGCCAACATCTGTTGCCACTCTTCCTCTTTTTTTCTTGAGGAAGATTAGCCCTGAGCTAACATCTGTGCCAGTCTTCCTCTATTTTATATTTGGGTCACTGCCACAGCATGGCTGTCAAGTGATGTAGGTCTGTGCCCAGGATCTGAACCTGAGAACCCAGGCTGCTGAAGCAGAGCCCACCAAACTTAACCACTAGGCCATGGGGCTGGGTCCAGAATTTTTTTATATGTAACTCTTAATCTGGAAGGTCAAAATAGTATCAGCCTATTATGAAAACTGACATAGCTGGAGACATATTCACATTAACTAGACCTCTGTTACAAATGAGGGGAACAGTATTTTTAATCACCCAATACAAAAAAGCCCAGGAATACCTTGGAATGTATACATCAAAGATACAGATGATTCATGAAAAATTTCTGAACACAAGACAAACTATCTGTACTCCCAGTCTTTTCTTAGGAATTTATAACCTTGGTCCCCCTTTACATAGTATATATTTTGTTTGTTATTTTATGAGTATTAGTATACCTTCTTTGGCTTTGTTCATTTTCTAATTGCAATCAGCAACTAGAAGTTTTCTTTCTTTATTTGTGTAGAAAATGCAATGTTTTTCTCTTTTGCAAAGCTCCATAGGAGAAAAGGGAAAAATGAATATCTCCCATGACTTTTTCTTGAATAAAAAAGGTTTTCTAGTTGGTAGACTTCAAAATCAGAGTTTAGAATTTATATTACAAAATAAGAGCCTGTATCCAGTATATGTGTTTATTTTGCCTGTATTCCCACGGTCTCGGTAAAGCAGAGTGCTGTTTGGTTTTCCTAACATTTTCATTTTAATTTTCTATGATAGGATTAAACTGCCTTGATAAAAAAAATACCAAAAGTTTGCAATTCATATTTTTTCTGCTATGTCTACTCTCGGAGGTACAGTGGCAGTAAAATGAATGAAAGAAAGAATGAATTAAAGTGAAATGAATTATTTTGTAGTAATCTGAGATATACTATGATTCTCTCTGCATAAAATTGCCAATAGATAGTTGCAGGACTGTGCTAGTTAGGGTTTTATAGAGCTGAGTCAGCTGAACTGAATTAATGATTGGTTACTAAAAGCTTCCCTTAAGTAAACTTAATCTATTTTTGCCTTTTTTATATCCTAGGTGCCCAAACCAGTAGATTATTCTTGCCAACCGTGGTAAGTATTAAAAATGTTTATGTAGCTAAGTTGAAATACCATACCCTTAGCTTGAGGACGCCTTAAATGTGGGGGTAGTAAACCACATTCCATTTCCGTTTGTCCTGGATAAAGGTGTTTTCAGAGGCAACAAAAGAGCATAATGAATGTATGTTGCTGACCTTTCCATATCTTTATCAGAGAGTGTCGTGTGTGTGTGCACGCACATCATGCATGTTCACTTGACCGTAAGTTCAAGGTTTATAACAGCCACAGAAAGGAATGGGACGTAGGCACATTTATATCTCATATTTTAGAAAAGTAGATTGCATGAAATGGAGGAAAAAAAATGTATGATTCCATTGTCTGAATCTAAAAATTAGCCCAGAAAGGATAGTAGATGCTAAAAATGCAATTTACAACATGTAATATGGCAGGAGCAAGATATATCCACATCTAAAATTCATATGGAGCTCACTTACCACTTGCATTTTCTAGCATTATCATTAATAGAAACAAGGAAGCAAAGTGGATATTGGTTATTATTTTTTAGACATGATGAATTTAAGGGGACAGTGGTATCTTTAACAGGACAAAATCTATTTAGGATCCAGAATAGTTTTGATAATCATATGATAATTAATAGATACTGAGTACTTCTCATGTGTTTAGTATTTTCCACATTCTATTTCATTTTGTTTTTCCAACATTTCTATAAGGAAGGTTGTGGGACCAACCCTGTGGCTAGTGGTAAGTTTGCCATGCTCTGCTTTGGCAGCCTGGGTTCGGTTCCCAGGTGTGGATCTACACCACTCCTTGGTGGCCATGCTGTGGCAGTTACCCACAAACAAAATAGAGGAAGATTGGCACAGATGTTAGCTCGGAGCGAGTCTTCCTAAGCAACAAAAAAAAAATGTGTTATTATTTGTTTAGATGAGGAAACAAAGGTTAAGACCGTGCAACCAAAAAGTGGTAGAGCCAGAATTCCAAGTTATGCCATCTATACATTGCCGTACTGCCAGTGAAAGTACAAAACATGGGCATATTTACTCATTTATATTTGTTTCTCTAAATTTTATGTTTGGCTGCTCTCAAAATGACTGCATCTATTTTCCCTTTCTTGGTATTGAAGTATATGCATACAAATTAGATATCAGAATATGTATATAAATGAGATATTCTGAAAGAATATAGTACTAGTTCAGTTTGCAAGTATAGGTAACACATAGGTTGTCTGATATTTTTTAAATATCCTGATTATTTTCTGATATATAACCAAAGCATGGAAAATGCCAGGTTACTGAAGGAACGCATTGTCCAAACTATGGGATTCTTCTCCTCCTCAGCCCCCTTGCCCTCCCTCAGCAGTCACGTCTGCCCTCTGCAGTCACTGTCTGCTGTCTCGCATCCCTCCCTGGGCTTCAGCACTGAGCTTGCTGAAGAAATTGTGGCAGATTTGTAATAGAATCTTTGCCTGGTTTAGGACAAATCTGAAATCTTAGTTTCAATGGAATTAAAAATCATAATCCTGACAGGAATTAAATTTTGAGACTAGAGCTAATAGCGTGCATAATCAAACTGCAAAACATCAAGAACTGGGAAAATCATGAGTATGATGATTAGCTTCCTTTTCTTTTCTTTTACCATTTTTCATGTAACTAGGCATAATAGTTATAAGGGTAATGATTTTAGAGATAAATGCTAATGCCACAAACGACATGGATTTTATGAAATAAACTGGTAAGGTACCTGGGAACCATTCAGGGCACTGGAGATTAGCTTTTAAATTCTTCGTTTTAAAATGCACCCTTGCCAATATGTAAAATTCTATTGAAAACATGAATGGTTAGAGTAGTATTGTTCCTAATGATAAAAAATCAAGATGTTCTGATGAGGGAAAAACCTTAAAAATAGGAAGAAATAAAGATATTTCATAGCAGAATTTTAAAATTACTTTTTTTTCCTTGAGCAACTTGGACAATTTATTCACACTAAGCAGGCAGTTTCATGTGAATTGCCTTCTGCTAGGGAACAAAGTGATCACCTATACCAGAAGACAGAACCTTCACTTTTAGAAATACTAAACTGTTTAGAGAAAATTATGCCAAATGATGACTTGCTTCCCAAGTCATCGAGAAGTTGAATATCACCAACTGTATTGTCCTTTCATTATTTCCACATTTAAAAACAAGTTCTCATTATATAAACTTTGTCTCTTATACAGACTATGAAATATAACAAAAAATCATGATGACTGTCTTCAACAATCTATATGTTGGGGTGTCAGGAAGGCAGGGATGAGGCATAGGGCTGAAAACTGAGGAACTATCTGAAAATCTGTATGAAGAACATGAGACGGATGCTGAGGTCCCTCCCGCATCCTCCAAGCAGTCAGGCAACTTACCTTTTCCTACCTTAGGAGGAGACACTGGAGTTAGTAGGTATATTATGTGGGAAATTTGAGCCATATAGGGCCTGGACTTGGAAAGACCTCACCCAGAAGAGATTAGGGGAGATGCCCCACTGAACACAGAGAAGTCAAATTAAGAAAAGTCCATGTATCGAATGACACTGATCTCCAGTTCCTTTGTATAGCTGAATTCCAGTACTGTGACAGCTAGGTCTCATACATACAGACTACTGTATCCTTGCATCTAGACAGGAATTTGGACCATTTTCTCTAAAGAAACCGAATAGACTCAGAGTAAAAAAGCTAAAATCCTAACATTTGGGTGTTATCCAACCCCACCATCAGGTTCTTGCTAAATGATCAGGTTTCTACCCACGGGCCTACTTTGGTGCCCACACACCAAAGATTCCAGTCAGTTCTTGGATGCCTCCCTCTTAAATATGAACAAAGAGTAACCAGACATTTGAGAAAAGCCTTGAACTAGAGAACAAATAAAATAAATGGGAAAAATAAACTTGAAGAAAATAACAGACATTAAAACGAGCAAAAGAAAGATTTTTTTTTTTTAAAGATTTTATTTTTTCCTTTTTCTCCCCAAAGCCCCCCGGTACATAGTTGTGTATTCTTCGTTGTGGGTTCTTCTAGTTGTGGCATGTGGGACGCTGCCTCAGTGTGGTCTGGTGAGCAGTGCTATGTCCGCGCCCAGGATTCGAACTAACGAAACACTGGGCCGCCTGCAGTGGCGCCTGCAGTGGAGCGCGTGAACTTAACCACTCGGCCATGGGGCCAGCCCCAAAAGAAAGGTTTTTTTTTAAGCCTTTAGTTTTTATTCTCAAAATTAAGAGATGATAATGCATCCATGGAAGTGAGCTGGATGTTTTATTAAAGGATGATCAGAAAACAAGAGAGAGCTCTTCTAGATTAAGTATTGAATAGAGGAGTTAGAAAATAAAATGGAGCAAATCTTCCAGAAAATCAAAGAGATAGATAAAACAGGGGAAAAGATAGGGAAATTAGACAGTCAACCCAAGAAGTACAGCATTCAACTAGTAGGAACTCTGGAAAGAGAAAAACTGAGAGCAGCAATTATCAAAAGAATAATACAGACATTTCTTAGAACTGAAGGATATATGGCTCTGAAGCAGAGATGATACTGAGAGCCCAGGACATTAATGAACTAAAAAGTATAGCACATAACCAAAAGGCACTTTATCATGAAATTTTGCAATATAGGGAATACAGAAAGAATCTGAAAGTTTCTAGGGCGAAAAAACAAAAGTAGACTACATACAAAGAATCAGAAATCAAAATGGCCTTGAATTGGAAGTTAGAAGACAATGGAGCAATGACTTAAAGTGTGAGAGGCAAAATAATTTCTCACCTAGAATTATATACCCACCCAAGTTCTGAATTATGTATTATTAAGTAAAAAAATATTTTCATAGACGTGAGGCCTTCCAGGTATTATATCCCACGTATCCATTTGTAGAAAGCTGAAGGATGAGCTAGTAAATCAAGAAAGAGGGAGAGACAGAATCCAGGAACTGGGAGCAAAGGGACGTCCCTAGACTACAGTAATTCAGCAGGCTTAGAGAGCAAGGAGGATTGATTGTACCAAGAAGGTGGAGGGCTCAGGAGAAATACATGTCTCCACAGAAAAAAATGAACAGGTACAGTTCCTGGTGTTGAAAAATGTATTACTGAGGGGTTTATAGTTCTCTTGGAGAATTTGGAAAGAATTTGTGATAGAGACAAAGAAGCTTAAGCAAACAAGAACTTGAGGAGTTGTTTTTTGTATGTCAAGTTTTCTTTGAATGTGACAACATGACAAAACTGGGCCAGACAATGGCTTGCTTTGTAGAGGTTACAGAAAGAAGAGCGAGGAGCAGCACTATAGAGGAATGTGCGTAAGTGAGGAAAAATGATTTTCCTCCCTGACATCTAAAATTGATAAATTAAGTAATTGTACGTTAATCATGTTATTTAGAAATATGCAAGTAGAAATAAGAAAAAAATAGATAAAATACTTGAAATGGGACTTGGGGTAGAAGATGGGGTAACGCTGCTTTTTTGTTATAATTATTATAGTACAAGTTGACTTTTTAAAACTATGTTTGTATGTTACTTTGATAAAATTCATATACTACATGCTAATTGTGATAAGTTCCATGAAGAAAAATAGGGATACTGTAATGACAGTAGTGGAGTAGAGAGTGCGAGACTCAGGACGACATTCTTTAGAGGGGATGGTCAGAGAAGGCCTCTCTCTAAAGCTGAGTAAAGAGAAGGAATGTGTGTTGATGGAGGGTGAGTGTTTTCCAAACAAGAACTCAGTCTATGAAAAGACTTTAAGATCAAAAGAAGCTTGGTGAGTTCCTGGACCTGACGAAGTCTAGAGACTAGTGCAAAAGGGGGTTGTAAGAGAGAAGATTGAAGAGGAAGTTGTGAGTCAGATCATACCAGGTGCTAATAGTTCATGGGTTATCATAACTGTGCTTTTAACTCAAAGTGCCATCTGTATAAAATGACCCTGGCTCTTCTATCTTTGGGGAGACCTCACATGTCCTCTTTCAACAAACTTTTGTTGAATGCTTTCTGTGTATATTTTAAATAAGTATTTAGTGTAGATTACAGGTGGGTATTTACACTGAGTTGCATGAGTCTACAAGTGAATCAGAGAATTTTCTGGAATATTAATTCATAAATAGCTTTGAGAGACCCTGTCTAAACATAAATTTTTTTCCCTTAACTTCTGTTGCCCCAAATCTCTGATGTATTTTGCTGGTAGATGCGAAGCCTATATGTGATGTGGAGAGTTACTAAAGAATCTTGTAACATTGCATTTGGGCCTTGTATTATCATTGTTAGTGTTATGGAATTTGCGTATGTTTAAGGCCAACATAGTTTAGGAAGAGCTGCATTCTGGTTTTGAAAAATGTCTATCTTTTAAAAATATATTTTACTCACTGCTGCTAATTTCTTTGAAAAATTGGTTTTCAAAATTGTGGACTGGAAGAATTAATCTTATGTTGAAAAAATAATTTTTAAAACATAATTTAAATTGTTCCTGGAGTTTTCTTAAAAAGATGCTCAGAGAAGATTTCATTTCATAGTGTACATAGAAAAGGTGCAGTTTTGTGGGGGGCAGGGTGTATGTGTGTGTATGTATGTGTGTGTGTCTTATGCAGGGCAGTCCCTCCCTACAAGTCATTTTCCAATTCTTGTCCCTAAGCTCACTACAACTCTCTTTCTAACCCAATACCTACTGATTCCTCTATTTGTCCCATTTATTTATTTGATAAATATTTTCTGGGTGCTTACTGTGTATTAGGCATTGTTCACTTTACCGTCGTTAGCTTTGTAGAGCATTTGTGTTTGGATGAATTAAAGGACTTTTTTCTGCATTTTTTTTGAAGCTATGTAATTAGTGTAGAAGTAAAAATGGTTTAAATCCGCCACTGAATTAAAATCCTGATAAATACTTATTTTTAGCCTCTGTTCTCTTCCAGGTACATTACCCAAATTTTCCGTCGTTGTTTCTTACAGGTATGCTGGAGCAATGGAAAGATTGCAGGCAGAGACTGAACTTATTAACAGGGTAAATAGTACTTACCTTGTGAGGCACAGGACCAAAGAATCAGGAGAATATGCAATTAGCATTAAGTAAGTAGGACAAGTACTTTTACAGAAATAGATTTCCTGTTTTCATAATTTCGTAGACCATCTGACATGTATAACACTGAAGCTGAAAACCAGTGTTCTAATTGCAGCGGAAATAATGCATCTATCCAGACAGTTCATTAATACTTGAAAATATGTGTTAGAAAAACAGTATTAAGTGTTATAGGCTGCTAATTGGCATAATTAGATTTCTGTTGTAGCATTTTGGTGACTTGATGTGTGTATGTTTCTAGTAAATTTTAAGAGTATAAATTACTGGATTTTGTTTTATTTTTGTTTATCTGTATTCTCAAACTGAACTTACAAAATAAATTGGGCATAATGATTGGTCAAATCTAACCCCCCCTTTTCACTTCAAATATTGGTTATATCTTCAATCTAGTAAATATATTTTGTTAATTAGCTGTCACCAGTGTATTGGCATAGGTATATATTTTGTCTTCAGAATTAATTCCTATAACGTTATTGGGGCATGCCCTCTGGTAATTATTGATTTCTACTGATTAAAAACACATTTATATTCATAAGCAATTCATTGCCCACAGGTACAATAATGAAGCAAAGCACATCAAGATTTTAACACGAGATGGCTTTTTTCACATTGCAGAAAATAGAAAATTTAAAAGTTTAATGGTAAGCATTGATTGGTTCTTTTCAATCTTTGGTCCTTATTTTTCTCTTATTGGAAAGGTCAGTTTAATTCTATAGTTTCTTGGAAATTTTGCTCACTAAAAAGTTGTTTAAAGAGAATCATACTATAATTTTGCAGCTGAATCCTGAAAATTCTAAGAACTCCAATTGTTTTATATTGCCCTAGTTGTATTTTTCATTATAAATTAGGTTTGCAAGTTTTAGATAATATTTCAGAACCTACACTCTTTATGACTCTTAGAGTAATAGACAAATTCAAATACATTCAACTTTCAGTTATTTTTTGTGAGTTTTGCCTTGTGTTTGAATGACACACCCCAAATTTTTAGTATGCGTCTCTTCTCTTATTGCTTCTGCCTCCAACTCTTAATTCAGGCAGAGGAGGGTATTTTAAATTATAACGTAGAAAGTTGTAATTGACAAAATACCTCTCATATCTAGGTTAATTTCCTACAAAATGCAATAAAATGTCAGATGGAAAAGCTTTTTGTATTTTCTGCTATCTTAAATTATCTGTGCTATGACTCTCCTTCATTGCCTTGAACAATGTAACATTAACAAGGTAATATTTTTACCACCCAACAATTGCTATTTCCTAGGAATTTTATATTTAAATTGAAATAGTATGTTGTTACCAAGTTGCTTCAAATGAACAAAGATTATTTTATTAATTCCTACAATTTTAAAAGTTACAACTTAATTTTGCTGGTCTATAAGAATATTATGTATATACCATATAAACAGTGCATATATGTCATGATATGAGCGTTGTCAACACTAAAGAAAAAGTTCGTATTTCCTCAAAAGCAGCCTCAAGTCTGTTTGTCAAGTTTGAGAGAGTTTCTTGAGATAATGAAGAATTTGGATATAGATATCAGATGCACTTGTAGCACTCCTCTAAGTGCTTTGAGTAACATTGAGAAGGACCACTCATTGATTGAACCATCAATCAAATGATACATCCTACATCCTTCCGGAAAACATCTCAAAGCACTTTGCAGATGTTAACATTAAAGTTAAAACTGAATGTAAGAGCACCTTACAAAATAGTCCAGCTTGATAGCCTTATCTAAAAATTTAGAACTGCCTCAAGACAGGGAGTAGTGTTTTAAAGAAATTGAAGTATCTCGAGTTGAAAGAAAAGTAAGAAAACTTCTCTGGACATAAATATCACATTCCCAATTCAAAAGCCAAGGATGGGCAGCAAGGTCATGTCCTGGAAAATGTAAACTCTGTCCAATTGGTAACCAAGATCCAGGCATCCTCCCTGCTGGCGGTGTCTTACATTCTGTTTGAACAAGCAGGCTGTGCACAGAGAGAACTGGACCCGAGGAGATTCTTCCTAAAATGAAAATCTAGGAAGGAGGTGGCAAGTGGATGCACAAATAATGAATGGCAGCCCCAGCTGAGACATGATAAAAGCATGCATGGGGGGTCTCCACTTCACTGCCAGACACACCAGCTGGAGCTTTCACCTGCAGAACTTCCGTGGATGGTAATGAGGCTGCTCCATGGTATCATAGCTAATATGAGACTTAAAAAAAAATGCTGTAGGGCCAAAGATGACTGCCAGCCTTGCCGACTTTGAGAGTAACAAAAGGAACTCCCATCAGAGGAGACAAGCAAAGAGGATGAAAGGAATAGTCACTGGGAAAGGGCCAATCAATTCAGCTTTATGTCACCTGGGTTTAACTCAAGAAAGTTCTTCAGCAGCTAAGATTAGATGTGAAAAGCCAGTAAATACCATGTGACCTGGATTAACAGACGTAGATCCTTGAGTTGCTATCTGCATATAAAGCTATGATTATAGTCAAAACAGTAGAGATCCAGAATTCAAATAATTTGTATCAGAGAGCAGTGAAAGTTTCTGCAGTGATGTTCTGGAAGGGGAATTAAAAGTAGTTGTCACAGAGTTAAAATAAGCTCCCCTTATATAGCAGGTGTAAAATATCAGAATGCCAGTGCTGGAGACACATGCGTCTGTTTTTTTCCTCCACATCTGGGGATCTTTTGTAAGGAAGCATGTCGCACAGTAGGTTAAAGGGAGGGAATTAAGAATTCATAGCGAACTACAATGAAACTAAAAACATTAGTACAAGGATATAACTGTAAAAACAAAGAAAGACAAGGAGCTGAAAAATCTCAGTCTTAGAAAAATACTACTGTCAGGTTTAGCAAATAACTGTAAAAATTGCTGAAGAGATGGTTGAACTAGTCTGGAGCTCCCCACCCTCTTTGTTCCTGTTCCTTTGTTGAAGAAATTTATATGGACTCCAAACTATGTGAAATCATTGTGTTTGTGCAGAATTCAAAAAAGACTCCATGGTTCTAAAAAAAGCTTTCAAATTAGTAAATCCATTTGTACCAAGAACCTCACAGTAGCGCTGTCCTTCCAACCCAAGCTGGGAAATGCCACATGGGTACTTGTGGGAAGGCATGGCTTCTATTTCAGTAAGCAGCCCCTTTGGAAGGAGATAGAGGGTTAATAGGCATCTTTGCCTTCACTCTGACAATGCAGTGGCTTCTCTAAACGTGCATCATACAACTTCCAGGAGTTACCTTTTATCATGCTGGTGTCAAATAACACAGTTCCCAGTGTGAGTACATAGTGGTCTGTGGATTTGAGTTGTTTCTCAAGAATAGTTCAGTATCCTCCCATTATGGGTGGTAAAGTTATATTTTTCTACTTCTGAAATTCATTAGGGCCTGGAATTAAATTTTAATTTGGAAGGGATGTAAAACACAAGCAAACTCCAGAAGTTGTTTTAAATTAGTCAGTTTCTCAAAGAGAAGATTAGCCATAGGGGGTTATGACCTAACCTTTTTCCCTTGGCTCCCAATAGCTTGGTTAATCAAAATCTTTGTGTTTCTTAGTCATTAAATTCAAATTCTAAATGAATTTCTATATCCAGATTACAAGGCATTAATTTTCTTCTAATTTTCGTGTATGCCAGACAATCCATGTCCAAATGCTGTTTATAAATCATCTCCATTGCCTGTTTCCTTGGTAATTGGAATGACTGGCTCTCACTCATTATTTTTCAGAGACTTGAATTGTTGACACTGCTGTGTCCGTGTGAGATAAGGAAAGCTTAGCGATTTCTTTTGTTTAGAGTCTTCTTATTTACTTGTAGTACCTGAAGGTCAATGACTGCTAAAGCAGGGGTGGATTAGACTAAAATACAGAAAGCGTAAAGAGATAAATTGGAAAAGATCCATGGTGGCACTATTTAATTCTATCCAGTTAGAAACATGTAGGAAGACTTACTCTCATAAGAGTGTAAAAATGGAACTCAAATACCTTCCATGCGTGTTGAAGTGATAAAAGCGTATTTTGCAGCTTACCAAGCCACATGACCTTAGGCCTTGGAAAAGTCATTTTTCTCCCATAACATTTGGAGGTGGGTAGGTATTAAATGATCACAAAGTCCTTTTCAGTATGATAATTCTGTGGTTTCTAGCCAACTTCACATTAAATTTAATTCATGCCTATTCATAATATAATGCATAAAATTCGTATTGCCTATAACAAAATTACATTGAAGTCCGAAGTTATTGGCTTGTAATTACTTTCAGGTTTATTGTCATATTTTTGCTAAAGAAAAGAATACATTTTACTCAGTTTAAATAATAAGACTAAGTAAAGAACTCTGATATTTTCATCAGCAACACAAAATATACATGTGAACAGTTCTTGAGGGACCTTACAAAATTTTGCCTTTTATTTAAAAAAAAATTAAATAGTAATATTGGTCTTTAAGTAGAATTTAACTCCAGACTTTGCCTTCACAAACCATGTTAAAAATCACTATACTACAAATGCTGTGTTCTGATCGTTGGAGCCATTTTGAGGATATAAACTTCTATCTTGTATTTTGAGTTTGAAGTTGGTCAGATTCCAAATTCCTTTGATTCATCAAGGACCCCCATAATCTGGGACCAAAGAAGGAAGAACGGATGGAAGAAATATTTATTTTTAAAGTCGTAGATGTGTGTTTAAAACTCTAGCATCTTACGTCTAAGGAAACAAAGTTCCTACATCATGGACACTTAGCAAATGCTCCTTCCCTTTTGCTGCCTCCCTTTTTGTGTATTGACATTTGCCAGGTACTATTTGCTAATAGTATGACGTAGCTAAGAGCACAAACTTTGGAAACAGACACCAGCTATACAACCTTACGCAATTAACAGTGAGATTCACCTCACTGGGACTTGAGCCTCGATGGTGCAAGGCCTATGTCTTGGTTCTTGTGTGAAGATTGTGAGAAACTATGTAAAAGGCCTGGCACATGGGATCGTAGTGGCTGTTATGATCATTCACGTGTACCGGGAACTTTATACATTCTTTACTACAGTCTGTGAAATGGTTTGTTATCCCCATTTTACAGATGTGGGAGTTGAAAAACTCTCCATTTGCTTTATCCAATGCTTCAGCCAAACTATGCTTTTAGTTTATGAATGTGATCTTTGCTTTATCACCTTTATGTCTGTTCCCAGCCCGTCTGCTCTACTTAAAGTAATACTTCCCTCCTTCCCGGTTTTTGAAATTTTACCTGTTCTTCAATTTAAGCCAAGCTGCCTCCATCATGAACTCTTCCCTCATCCTCCCGACTGGACCTACTAAAGGAAGTTCTCTCTCTTGCCCTTGAACTCGCATAGGAGTTCCCTCCCTTTCTTTCAAGGGTGAGAACTCCTAGAGGGCAGGAGGCTTATCTTCATAATCTTTGTGACCACTGGAACTCCCCGCACAATGCACTCCACAACTCATCCGAGTTTGGTCATAACTAATAAAGAAATCATTGACGATTTTCTTTTTCTTCTTTCGGGTGATTTTTGGCCCCGTCAATTTGTTTGGGGAACTTTGAACATAACCACTGGAGGTATTGAGTTGATGACAGTAAGATTTTTAGAAGAAAGGAGTTGCTTTTACAGTGTTCTAAACAATGGTGTGTAGTGGAAGCACTGAATAATTAGGTTAAAAGTGATTTTGCTTTTATTTTCCTTTCATGTATTTCTAAGAAATATTATATCTACAGTACTCATCTAATGATAATATGCATTTTTCCACTATGAATTAATTATTATTCAATTTCCGTTTAAAGTAGAGGGATTCGCATTTGTGCAGAATCTGTCAAACCAGCAATCTCAAAAGAAATTTCCTGAAATTTTACTTTGAAAGATGAAGAGTGGTTGTTATATTAGGCTTAGATGTATTTAAGGCAAATTAGGTGTAAGAAAAAAGTTAGAAAGAACCACATTATTGACCTCTGTAAGTACCAGACAATATGCAGAGCTGTGAGAAGGGTGCTAACACTTCATCATAAGCCAGAAACAATGGCAAGTAGCATTTGTGGTTTATCAACTTTGGTTTACCATGGAAAAATACATTTAGGATCAAATTTGTTTTTCTGCTATGTTGAAAGAAAATGCAGGAAACGAGGAATTGCTATTTATTCAGCAAACAGCTGTTCCCTTTATTTTTGTTTAGAAAGGCAAGTATTTCATAAATAAGAACAATAATTACTGTTCTGAAATTGAGGTTTAGTGTGGTTTCTTTTCATTTACCACATCTGACTGGAGACTAACAGGATGTTCTTTATCCATGAATAACAATAGGGGGTAACTCACATTGCAAATGGCCTGAATAACGAGGACAGTTACTAGGTAGGTGTCACGTACATCCAGACAGCAGGGAGATTATCATTTACTTACTCTTCCATATACTTATGGAAAGCTTAGCATTAAATTGATCATTCTTATATTGTATGTAATCATATGTCAAGGAATTCAGGTATTTGAGAACAAAACTATCCTCATCAAAAATAATCTTTGGTTCTTTTTTGCTAAAGGAACTTGTGGAGTACTACAAGCATCATTCCCTTAAAGAAGGGTTCAGAACCTTGGATACGACCCTCCAGTTTCCATACAAGGAGCCAGAACACTCAGCTGGACAGAGGGGTCATAGAGCAGGCATCAGCTGTGAGTATTGTAATTTAGAATACGATTTGCTGTCACTTAAGGATTGGAGGCACAATAACATTAAACGTCTTCATTCCAAATTTTGAAATAGAACCAATTACTGTGCTAATGAATTTAGCAAGAAATTTTTCTGGAGCTAGGCAGAATCAGATGGACCAGCAGGTTCATGAACATATCTGGATGTGGTTCTTGGTGCCAAATTAAAATCATGTTTGTGTTCAGAAATCCGTCAGAAATGTAAAGGGTATGTTAGTTAATGTATAAGTTCTGTACTTTTCCCCGACTTTTATATTAGCCAGAGTGTTAAACTGCTCCATGTTTGTGGTCATAATGCTGTTTGAGTAATAGTGTTTCAGCAAGGCTGGTGCACAAGCTTTCCCATCTATCCCAGTCTGATTATATGATTATAGCTGCTTATGATTCTATTTCAATTACTTCCAGAATTTTGAAATGACTAAAGCGTGTTTCTTCTGACACCAGTATTTAGAAGTGTATGTCAACCACTTTCTTTCAGCAGGAGCACTGTGCCATGACTAATCACAAAACATCAGCACACAAACCAAGAGCATGTTATAGTTTCAGTGTGAGTTCAAGTCAAAAACTTTTTTCTTGTCACCATTTAATGTCGTATAATCTTTCCGCAGGTAGATATAGCATCTAAAGACAACACTGTGATGAAAAATGCTATGAATAAACTGTGATTTCATTCTCTTATTTTAATATCTTTTTTTTTAAATAAAACTCTTCTGGAGGAGAAATGAATACAATTTTATTACTCTTAGAATCTTTAGCCTAAGCAAAACGGGAGTATCTAGAGGTTTTTGAAAAAACAGAATTTGCATCGTGTACTATAACTTTAACTTTTTTTTCCTTAAAAGCAGAGATTGAAAGGGAAAGAGGTAATGCTCAGGGCCTTAACAACATCAGTAAAATTTCATACACTTCAATATAAGTAAATACACAAGTAATTTGTCACATCAACTGACGGGTTTTTTTATTTTAATAACTTAATAGCTGTTCTCTTTCCAGGGATCAGTGATAAATGACCGAGCTTGTACAATGAAGGCAGTCAAAGCACACTTTATGCTGAAACTTTAAACACCTATTACAACTTATCTTTTTATTTTTTAGCCCAATATTACCCAATTATCTTAGATTCTCATATAGGCCATATTTTTTGTTATTCAAAAATAAAAGTTTTCCCTTAAAAAGCAATTTTCCTACAAATTTCTTGAAAGTCTACCAAAGTTATGATTTTTCCCCTGCATGAAAAGTATAATTTTCAGCTGTGTTTGACTTTGCTTTCCCAGCAGCAGGAGATAATAAAAGTTGCTAAGGAGGTCAGTGATGCTAAAACTCCTGTTTGTTTGACTTGTTCACTTGGTTCTAGAGTGCCAAGGTGGGAGAGGTTGGCAATCCTGGAGAGCAGATGTATGTCCCTTAGTAGTGGAAGGTCACTGACCCTCATATTTCACTCTGCGGTGACTCCCAGGCACTTTCTCTGTGCTTGGCACATGGAGGTGCTCAGAGAATGTTGTCCAGCAATGAGTGAACTTGCCTCGTTTAAAATTTGTCTCTAGTGTTGAACAAAGTATTCAGTGCTCAAACTTGTTTAGCCACTGGGAATGGAGTTATAGGCCTTTTTTTTTTTTTTTTTTTTTTTAAGTGTAGCAAACAGAATGATTTTGAACATCCCTGCAAGCTACAGGGAAAATTTTAAACAAACAGGGTCATGAGTTCAAACATTCCATATGCTAATCTTTTTAAGAGACTCTGGCAAGTTATGGCGCCGGAGCCCTTTTATAGCCGAGAAGCAAAAGCAAATCATTCATTTAAAATTTAATCTTTGTTAAAGTTTGGTTCTTTTCCCTCAATTATTCATTTATTCATTCCTTCAACAGATAGACATTACATTCCTAAAACAGGCAAGGCACTGTTCTAAGTACTGAGACACAGACGTTGAGGAAACAAAGTCCCTCCCCTTATGGGGCTTATATTTTAATGAGGAGACTCAGGCAGATCTGGGTTGGGAGTGTGATGTTTGTATATAGGGTGGTCAGGGAAGAGCTCACTCATAAAGTGACCAGAAAGAAGTGAACGAGTGAGTTAGGATGGCAGGCAGCAGTAATTGCACAATGGTCTGCCCTCCCAGATTATGCAGTCGTTACCGTGCAGCAGGGTTATAATCTTAGATCAAATTTATGATACTATCCAAATGTTTTATTTACTTTATGTTGACTTTGTATAAAATGAGAACACCAGGATGGTTCTGAGGATTAAATGAGGTGCTCTATATAATGCATTTAGCATAGTGTCGATAGGCGTAAACACTCAGTAAAAGTCAGCCACTGCTGATTCCACCACTCCTACTCCTGCTATTACTAGTAACAATTTTTCTCACACAGCAAGCATTTTCTTATATTTCTAAGAGTTGAATTTTAACTCATAGCAATTTGCATCTTTGCTTTTATGATTTTTTAAATATACCTTGCTTATTTTGTACCAAGTCCTGATTAAGGGTTAACCCTTAATTAAAGCACTGCTTCTTTTTATACATATTGTGCTTATCAGGAAGTGGTAAGGAGGAAGTGCTTCATATTCTGCACAGAAAGATGGTGTAGAATGTCTTTATAGTCCTTACCTCTGGTTCATAGCTTTGGCTTTGCTGCTAAATAGCATCAAAAATAACTTTTACAAAGAAGTAGTACCTTGGGATACTGGATTGACTAAGGTGCTGACACCCCCATTACTTCTAAAAGGCCTTGGAGGGAACAGAGCAGTCGAGCTAAAGCTTGGGACCACCGTGTATTCTGGGTAGAGGTTGAGATTGGAGTTTCAACTCCTGAAACCTGCTATTTATTATTTTTTTCTTAAATAATATAGTGACCTTGGGTGGCTGGCCACGTGGCCGAGTGGTTAAGTTCACGCGCTCCGCTGCAGGCAGCCCAGTGTTTCGTTGGTTGGAATCCTGGGCCTGGACATGGCACTGCTCATCACACCACGCTGAGGCAGCATCCCACATGCCACAACTAGAAGGACCCACAACGAAGAATATACAGCTATGTACTGGGGGGCTTTGGGGAGAAAAAGGAAAAATAAAATCTTTAAAAAATAATAATAATAATATAGTGACCTTGGAAAAGAAAGTCCCAGGGCATTGTAGAAGAGGCTGCTTGCTTCTGTATTAGTCCATGTTAGAAAGGTCTTGGGCAGATTACCAACTATTCTTCAAGTTTGTAAAATGTGATAAGATTATGACAGAACTACTTCATGCAAATGCAATAAAAAAATATACAAAAAGATATTGATTAGAATTAAACAGGAGTCCAGAGTGTTGGGCAAGGAGCATATAGCATTTCTAGGTTAGGAGCCCATTGCTGGCAAGGCTCTTTCCCAGGGCTAGGAGACTTTATTTTTGCCTTCAGAATGACTTAGTGTTTCCAAGAAAGAACAAAAAGAGAAAGGAAGAGAAGAGAACGAAGAGAGAACTCAGGCGTAGCAGTGAGCTGTGGTGCTTCCCTGGAAACTGCAGTGGCTCCGTGCACGATGTTCTGCCCTGTTGTGTGGATCTGTGTAGGAATCCCATTACTGTCCAAAAATGGTCGCAGCAAGCCTGCTTTAGATTGCTTCAGGTGTGCCCGTAGGGCTTGTGTATTTGAAGGGCACTGAATGGACTTTGCCTTCCTTGCTCTACTTGAGCACTTAATTATTTTCAGGTCTGCTACTGAGTAGCTGTCTGACCGTAGGCAAGTCACTTAGCCTGTCTGGGCCTCAGCTTTCTCATCTGATGAATGAGGAATGAGATTAGATATTTTATTATGTTCTGCTGAAAATAGCATGCTACGTGTCTGTCTTTGTACACATGAGAGAAAGAGGCAAGGTAGAATGTTACTACATCATTACACTAAGAAAAGTGCATGATTAGCTACCTCGTGACCCGGAAACCGACCTTCATCACTTTCCCACGTTCTTATTTATGGAGAATTCATTGGACCATATAATAGAGTTGGCTAATTTTTTTTAAATGTTGGTTATAATTATATTTATATAATCTCAAAGTAGCTTCTCACAAAAATTTATTAATTACAAAAGGAAAAACAGAAATTCCTTAATCAAGCGATCAAAGTTAACGTCACCGATAATGGGGCAAATAGATATCATGTACTCCCTAATGTCGCACTGCAAGGACACACCACCACTTTGGTGGTATTCCTGCCCACAGGATGCATTATTCAAATATAATCATCAGGAAACATCAGACAAACCCAAATTGAAAGACATTCTAAGAAATAATTAGCCTGTATTCTTTAAAAATGTCGATGTCTTGAAAGACAAAGACAAAGGAATTGTTTCAGATTAAAGAAGACTGAAGAGGCATGACTGCTACATGCAACATGTGATCCTGGAGTCAATCCTGGACCCAAAAGACAATTTGTTTTTTTGCTATAAAGGACATGTGTGGGACAATTAACAAATTTTAAATAAGTTTCTAGATTAAATAATAGTGTTAAATTTTTGCTTTTGATAATTGTACTGTGATTATGTAAGATAAGAAAATGCCTTTGGTTTTAGAAAGTACACACTGAAGTATTTAGAGATAAAGGATGTTATGTCTGCAATGTATTCTAAGGTGGTTCAGGAAAAATATAGAAATTGATAAAGGAAACAGTAAAATTTTAACCTTTGAAGAATTTGAGTGAAAAGCATATGGGAATTCTTTGTACTATTCTTGCTACTTTTGTTTAAATCTAAATTATTTCAGAATTAAAAGTTTTAAAATTTGGAGATGATCCTGTTAGCAGAATAGGTCTGAGGGAATTGGGAGGAAATGACAGTGTTCTTTTTCATCTGCTCCAGGTGCAGGAGCAGCTTAGGGCAGTGATTTTGGGATTATGTAGAGTACTGTGTAGGTCATATTTGAAACCATCTGTTTCTTACCTGTGACCTCATTGTATTTGCTTATTCATTCATTCACTCTTTTAGTCAACAAATATTTATTC